GCTTTCTTGGCAGCCAGGGCACACTGCTGGCTCATGGTTAACCTGTTGTCCACCAGGACGCCCAGGTCCCTCTCCGCAGAGCTGCTCTCCAGCAGGTCCACCCCAAGCCTGTACTGGTGCATGAGGTTGTTCCTCCCCAGGTGCAGGACCCTGCATTTGGCTTTGTTGAACCTCATCAGGTTCCTCTCTGCCCAGCTTTCCAGCCTATCCAGGTCACTCCTGAAGTTGCAACTCACCAAGAGAAAACCCTGCTCCTGACCTGTTCATTGGGAGGTACTTCATAATTGGATGTGCTGCTGAGTAACCATCTGTCCATTTTGATATATCAATAACTGCTAATGACTTACTGAACATGATTACTACAAAAACGTAGTATCACATACCTGGCTTACTTGCCATGGCTACCAAAGGTAGGAAGTCTTTAGATGTGTAGAATCCTTGATCCATTCTCAGTCCTTGGAATATACTGTCTCTGTTTGGTTCTGGCAAACCTAAAATAGGTATTTTAAGGCATATCAGAACTACAAGAGAAATTTCAATGACCAGTATGTATTTCACATTACCCACACATTCGCAGAAACACCCCCAACACAAGTACTTTTACAAACCTTCAAATGTTTCTAAAAGAACATCACAAATGACTGTAGCTTCACGTTTGTAGTCTGTAGCTTATGTAACTCTTGGTCTTTTAATAGTACTGGCACTTGAAAATAAGGTTGCTGGATAACCTGTGTACTCATACAACTTGTATCAAAACAAATGCAGAGGACAGGGTTAGAGAGAACAGGATATACAGGGTGCAAGAGCAGGGAAGCTACTGGGGAAGAAAAGACGCTTGTAAGGTTTTCTTGTATTGCTTCACCTGCACGCGCATGTAACTCTCACTGCTGTGAAATGGTTTTGTTCCCTTTGTTTTAAGGCATTTTTCAATGCAGCTTGTCTGAAGATAATACAAATGAGGCAATAATAAACAGCTTAACCGATGAGGAGAGGAGGACAAATGGCAATGCTGCAGATCTGTCTTATCTACTTGTATTTGTATGCTGTCATTTCTTGCCATTCTTGTATTCTCAAAACCCCAAAGTCCTTATTAGCTGACATTTATTTATAGTTATTAATAGTTCACATTTATACAGAAGCCGTAGCATACAGACAGGGATACACTTTGCAACCAATATTAGCAACAAATACCTTTAATTAAAAGAAAGTTGCAAAAAGCCTCTTCCAATTATCAAAGAATTATCTTCTTGTTCCTGTGTGAACATTTGGACAGAACAAAAAAAAACAGCCTAGTTGGCACAGAAGTTAAAACATTTTTTTCATTCAAATGCAATGATCTCTCAGCGTATTTTCAACAGGGCCTCAACTTTCATATTTACATCTAAAAAAACATAATATTATCAAAGTATGCTAATTAATAATTACACACTGAAATGGAGTAAATGTCAACAATTTTTCTAAAAAAACACACTAGAACTGAGGAGTCCTCAGAGCAAGCAGGCAGAACTGGAGCATGCAAAGCAATCTGTGTTCCCTTGCTTCTCAGGCATGGACGGCAGCAGACTAGTCTTTCTCCTCTTTGAGACACACTGGTCTGGAAAGCCCCAACACCACCATGTCAACAATAAAGTAGGACTGCACTTTGAGGAGTGCTGTTCCAGGTAGGGAAGGTTTAGGGCCTTCTTGTATCACTGAAGCAGCAAAAATCTGTCTCATTACAGCATAACATCAGGACTCAGTCGTAAGAAAGCTCAGGATTTTTTCATGAGTCACCTGATATGAGGGAAGTTTCTTAAATCTCTAGATCCCTGAATGAAGTTACTATAAAACAAGTAGAAAAAAAAGTACATTTTTAGTTTCAACAGGTTCAGTGAAGAAAATGCAACTATGTTCTCAGTGAATTCAAAAGGCTTACAAGCCAAAACACAAATAAAATATCCTGAATGTTTTGCATTTCAAAAATCTCATGTTATTGAGCACTTTCTTGACCTCTATTTATTAAAAAAAAAATAAAATAAAATCATGACTCAGTTGCTGAACACCTGATTTTCAAAACACTGCTGATGTATAATTGGATACTGAGAAAAACAAGCATAGAAAATACTAGCATGTACTGAACTTGAAGATCTTTGAATGCTGTATTTCCTGGGCAGACTGAAATATCAGGTAATGAAGAATGAATAATAGACATCTTAAGAGGCTGACAGAAATAGTTTGTGCTACTGAATGTACAATATGTAAAATGCATTAAATAAATTACTTTTAAAACTGCTTAGGTTTTTCTCTATGTATATATTGCAAAATCATCTATGGCAAGAAGAGTACCTTGGAAAAAGCTCTCAGTGACTGCACAGAGGCAGAGGACAGAGTAATGCAACTATTGCTATTGAGGTATCCATACACAACTCAGAGGCCTCAGTTTTCTCTCGGGAGAAACACTCTTGTCATTAGTGGGATGTGCACCCTGCATTAAAGATAATTTCCTTTCTACCTAACATCTAGCCTCATTCAAAAACAAGGAGAAACCCTCACAAATATTTCTTTCCACTTATTTTTGCTGCTTTTATCGACTCCTAATGAAAATGATTTTATCTCTAACAGCATCATTAATTTAGTTCCCATAGGCTGAAGAAATAGTAGAATTAAGGGAATGTTGCAATGTTCATGGTCCAGGTTCATCACTAGTTCAGCGTCACTGAAATCAAAGGAGTTGAATTAAGAATGCAGTGAATTCAATAATGTTTAGCCTGGCTGGTACAACAAAAAAAAAGCCTAAGAGGTTGTCACTATACATGGCATCTTCTGCTGCTAATTTTACTATTTTAATTTTGCTGAAAACTCCATGAAAACCAATTTTGCAATATTTACATTTGAAGGAAATGCAGGGGATTTTTATCTTATACCTATAAATATCTGGCACAGTTTCAAGCTCTTATGCCAAGCATCTGCTGGAAGTTCTACCGGATTCTGACACATCTTTTTTTGCTGTTTAGTATTTGTTATCATAATGATTGCATTTAGTTTTGTCAAAATAGAGACGCAGAGTACTTCTTTAAGCCACCAGGCTAGCTAAGAAAGAGGCAGACAAACAGAAAGAGATCAAGAACTGATATGACCCACTTTAGAGAGACACCATTTCATAATAAATGGCCATCCCACGGAAGTACACTTTACAGACAGATCAAATATTGATAAATAGCCAACAGCCTCTCAGGAGAGAGAACAGTTGACAAAAAAATAGCCGTAGAGGAAAAATGTAGTTTCAAGCAAACGGTTTTAGAGAAGAAAGAAAATTTTAAAAAGCCCAGTCATCTACGAAAGACACAGTTTAGGTCAAAATAATGAACCAAGAGAAATACCCTTTGAAGATAAATCAGAGAAATCCTTTAGCAAAAGGGAATTCATACACTAGTACAAAATAGCCAGGAGTCACCCAAGAAAAAATGCTTAGAAAAACATGAGGTCTTTCCCCTAGGTTTTAGGCTGAAGTCGACAGTAGTCAGTTCTCTGCTCTCTAAATCCACCTGCAAGCCATCTAAAAGACTTTTTTATTTATTACTTGGCATTTCTTGTCCTGAAACAATCTTTCACTATTCTAGGTGTCCTGTCTTTAAATAACCTGTACCAAAATCTAGCGATAACAATTACTTCCTTCACCAGCACTGAAGAATAACTCTTCCGAAGGGCAGTCAAGAGGAGGCAGCCTAGAAAGACAATTGCACTAGTGTTGTGTGGATGGGCTCTGCACACCCATACACAAGTACACAAGCAGAGGGCTATGCCCAGCCCCCCACCTTCTGCAGTCAAAGCCCTGGACTTCCTGAAGCCTCAGTCCCTTTACCTGCTGATGCCGGGGAACAAGCCTCTGAAGCAACTGATATCCAAACCACATAATGAAGCCTCATGGGCTGTGGAAAACAGCATTTACTAAGAACAGAGAAAGCTGAAACACCATGAAAATAACAGCTTGCATGACAGAACTAGTTCAGCTTTGCAAAAGCTAATCCAGACAGTTCCAGTCTGGGTCAGGTACAGCGTAGTAAGCACTTAATGTCTCTTCCTGACCCTCTGGTTTGCTAGGCTCTGCCTTTGCTCTCCAGATGCTCCAGCTACCTCTCAGTAAACATCACTCTCTTAGTATGAAGCCCCACAACCCCTTCTCCAGTGGGCTATACCTCAGCATCAGTGTCACTCCCATGTCTTACATAGCATGTACTTTGCAAAAGCATTCGCCACTGTAACAGTGGGTTTGGAAAACACAGACTTTAATCTCCCACTTTTATATCCATTATAAGTATATATAAATATATGCATGCATATATTATTATGTTCTCACAATACTGATGCATGTTAATTTTCTTAACTGGTGGTGTTAAGTCCATCATCTACATTTAAAGATAAAACTTAGATCCTCTCACAATCCCCTAGTCCAGACGAAATATGAATTGCTAAATGATTACAGTCAATTTGTCAGATATACAAGGCAATGTACAAGTGTGATGCATACACAATGTAAGGGATTGGCATGCAGAGCAATGCACCTAGTCTACTTGGTTGCTGCATCAAATAAATCAAGGCACGTCAACGTATCAATCAGCTAAGTCTGAAAAGGAAATAAATACTGCTGCTATTACTGCAACTATTAGCCTCGTCTGGAAAGGAAAACTAAAGTGGGAGTAGAGGCACAGCACGTCTCTTTCCTATTTGATCAAATCCACTCTCCTCAATATATTCAGGCAGATTTGCGGTTTCAAATGAACTTCTCAGCCATTTTTAATAACTGACATACAAAAGAAGCCCTCTTCTTTTTTAAGAGTCAAATGCAGTTTTCACTGACAGCTGACTGAAAATACATCTGCAGGAAAAAAAAAAAAAAAGGAGCGGAAGTGTAAACACACAGTAGCCTACAGGGACAAAACTTAATAGAACATTGTGAGGTTTTCTGTTTTTCCTTACATCAAACACTCAAAAGTTTGGTTGGTTTCATTTTTAATTGTGATAATACCACATTCTGGAAAAACTTAAGCTGGACCAGGTAAACAAAAGAAGAGCTAGGATCTTTCAAGCAATATTCCCTCTCTTTGCACTCTTAGCTATTGCTATCCTGACAGAAGAGAGTTTTCAAGACGAGAACTGGCTGAATTGTATTTACCAACCCCTTACTTTCAGGTAAAAATGTAAATTCAGGCTGGTGAATGCAATCCCTGATTGAATATACCAAGAACTATTTTTTTAAAAGCCAAGACATTCTGTTTTGACATTTTTTATAATGAACCTTTCAACTTTCTTTCAAAATGACATTACATTTATAAATTTATCCAAACTGAATTCGAAATAAAACAAAGAAAAATGGATTCACTGGCTATGCACATCCCTTTTTCTACCTTTTAAAACTTTCTACCTTTTAAAACTAGCAAGCCAAAACCAACATCAAACTCCATCCACCTATTTATGCGACTTTTATTTTATTTATTTTTTTTATTTATGCGAC